TGCCCTGTGTTTTAATTTGGGCGTTGAAACTTGTTCTTTGTAGGTAAGTTTTTGTGCATACAACCAATAACTCGAGTAACCGATAGATATCTTGCAACTTCGGCAATAAAAAAGAGACAAGTACCATGAGCAAAAATTATCAGTCATATTTGGTCCCTCGAAAGATTGAATGCGAATGAACTTGGGAACACGATTTCCTAAACAAATAAGTACCGGCATTTTGCGATATTGTTTGTTCCACTACTTAACTATTGTTACGATAAATGTTAAAAACGAATGTATCTTTTTGAGCTCGTGACCACCTAATAGTTAATTATTTTTAATTATTTCAAGAGGTGTTGGTAAATAAGTAAATAGCCTTAGGTTCCAGACTGATGAGAGAAGTTAGTTCTCCCATCAGGACTTTCTATTACATTCTAAAATCAACTTATTTCATGTGCTACCAACACATGGATTCAGGGAACTGAATTTCGAAATCGTAGTGTAGGACAAAAATATCTGGTGGTTCTTCTATACCGAGACAACGGCACATGACAGTACGTAATTGGAGAACGTATTAGCAAGCTCTGATGAGAGAACAATAATGTTCAGAGCAAGCTAAGGTAATTTACCTATGGACCAAGACTTGAGAAAATTGCAAAAAAAAAAACAAACTTAAATTATAAACTCGCAACATACTAACACACGAACTGTTAATTGTGACATTTTAAATTAATTTTATCTTTAATGTCACAATTATGTTTTTGAGAAGCAGACTAAGAAATTGAGCAGGAAGAATGGGAAATCACACGAAAAAATAAGCGTAGGATCTAATAAAAAATAAACAAGGAGAAACTAAAATTTTATCGAGTAAGCGTAAATAACGGAAAATCAGAAAAAATCAGGATAAACACAGACATTGTTTTATTGTTTTCAATCTCATCTTCAGTAATAAGTCTGAGAACTTGCAGTTTCCTCACAAACTTTTGAATTATAGAAGATATCATATGCGTTCGATGCAAGTTTGTAACCTAATAATATTATCACAGCATCCATAACGACATAAGATGAAGTAACGAATGTTATAAAGATGTCATATATTTTGATAATTCTATTTCAGTTTCTGAGCTTTCGGTTTAAAAAGTTTAATTTAATGTAGTATCTTTGCAAACTATTGCTGAAATATTATCAGAAGAACACGAAATAATAATACATTAAAATGACGCAAAAAGAGTCTGTATTTGACATTTTGAGCCAAAAGTCCGACTTTGTCTCCCAGCCATCGGTTTCCCTCATGCGTGGGCCTAGATAATATTCCCATGCTTGAGAAAGAGTGAAATGCGACAAACATTACGTAATGCCTTCACCGTAACTAGAAAGATCGTCCTGCCTAAGGTTTTCTTCATCACACAGCTTCAGAAATTTAAACTACAGTTTATGTTAAATATATTTGTCTTTGTAAATAAAGAAACATCTAAATAGGAAACACTATTTACTTATAAAACAAGCACCGAACTGAGATTCGAAACAACGATGGAAGAAACGAAGATAAAATTTGGTTTTCAAGCTCATCCAGTCAACAGGCGTGCTGTTCCCTTCTCTCAATGCATATCAGCAATAACCGTTCTTCAAAGATGGCAGTAGCGCCGAAGTCTGGTAAGTAAGTATACATTGTAGCGGTGCAAAGCTTTATTTTGCTACCCTTTGCAAATTCATTTTACATTCCCATTTACTTCCAAAGGCATTTGCTCAAGAAGTCCTGAAAGGACGCTTTCTCAATAGCGAGAGACCTTTTCTACGCGTGAAATACTATATACGTGAGAATGTACTGAATGTGTCGTTGAGTAAGTGTGCGTTACAAACTCGTTTGTACAATATTAAGAATATTGTATGTGTTTGTATCCATGAAGGCATATGTTCTTGCAAAATCATACGAACTTGACTAATAATGATGGTTGTGACAAAATAAAGGATGTAACATGAAGAATGAGAATATTATCAATTTCGTGATTGAATTTGTGAAATATTATGAACAGTGTTATGATAAAATTTGAAAAAGGTGAGATTGTTTGGGAAAATGTAAAAAATGTTTTATTGTCTATTATTGAGATTTCGTTAGGTCGCTTAAAACTCGTCGGATCTTTACTCGATTCACAGTACAGCAAATCTTCCATTCTTCCGGGTTTCCTGGATATGGCCTCCTGTTCCCGTCAGCCATACACACATTTTTACGATGCTGGGATGGGACTCTCCCCATCTGCAGCTTCAAAATCGGGGCCTGTAGGTCCGTCATACGAACCCTCTTCTAATCGTTAATGTAATTCAGAAGCTCTCGTAGGACTATATTGGTTACTTATATTATAAGAAAGATATGAAATTGCAAGGAAATAAAAGATGAAACATGGTGGGTGGAAGAATTCTACTACTCCACTACACAACTGCCATACCTTACGGAGAATTCGTACCCATAGGTCTATTTATGTGTGTAACGCGCTTTTTGGCTTCACATGCTTCGTTCTCGAGTAGAATGAGATCGGCAACGAACGTAAGGAGGACGTTTTAAAGATTAAACCTGCATAACTTTTGAACCCTTACGTTTCAACTAGTATAGGGGACCGACTACGACAAAATAAAGAAGCACTGATTGATATTCAAGGGAAAGGAGCGTACAAACCCGCGGTCCATCCACTTGTGTTTATATTTTCAGCAATATTGTTTTATATCTAAACTTATAGATAGCTGAAAAATTCATTGATTCTATTCCATTGATTATATTGAGTTTGTATTCTGTTCGTCGGGAATTAATGTGCAGATTTAATACATTGTAATTGCATGATTGAATAATGCATGATTGATAGTTTGTTCACAACATACTCCAGTTTTCTAGATAGTCATTTTAAAATGTTTTATTTATAAAACAAAATTGTTTTTTAAGATGATATGTGAATATTGACAGTTTTGTTTTACAAGCAAGTATTTTAATTTTTTTCTAAAACTAGTGTCACAAATAATACATAGAAAATACAGACTTATTACCAAAATCCTGCAAAATTTGTGCATTAAATAATGGTGTATTAAGCACGTTGTTATGAACTGCAACATTGTAAATTTTAATAAATCTTTTAGGCACTTATAGTTCAAGTGAATTGATGAAAAGAAGAAAACAGGGGAGTGCTTACTTCGAGGAGTTACTCTAAGTTGCTCTAAAGTTCAATTCTTTTATAGTACCTGTCCGTAATGAGCAACAAACTTTTACTTACTATTGTAGACAATGTTCTTTTAGCAAACTCTCTACTCCAAGTAAAATGCAATATGGATGTCGAAAATTAAGCAAATAACGTTGATATAAATGTAATGATTATTATCCTACCTATAATGTACGAATCAGCATATACATTGTGTAACTATACACGCACAAAATATTTTTTATCGGGTTCACTTACAATGAAACAAAAATATTCCTTTGTGAGTACCGTACCTCTGCAATGTTAGTTACTCTAACCAATCTGAAAAATTCTCATTTTATTTAATGCAATCGTACGCTTAAAATACGTCTAAATTGATCTTCTTTATAGCCAGGGTCATTGAATATCTACACAAATTTCAAAGTGATTCAAAATAATTCTTAAAATAAATGTTATTTTATTATCTTGGCCACAACTTTCCGAACATATTGTGAACATTTTGTTGACATTTAGTTTTAACGCTATGCAAGGAGGATGTGCTTATGCGGTCATTGATGACGTAGATTAGAAAGAAAAAAGTACAATATGCTATAATATAAGGTTATTACTGACTTATTGAATAAATTTAAGTTTCAAATGAAGTTACTAAGCACGTATGTCTGGTAGACGCATGTTGCAAACAGAAAGTAGAAATGAGTAGGGAATGTATTCATGAGATTAAAATCCAGAAATACTGTATGAAGCAAACTTATCGTTGGTATTTTGTGTTTTGCAGGAACAGTGCGTAGGATTCATACCATGTAGACCTCTGTGTACATGTAGGAAGGTAAGCTTTTGCTCTGTTTTATTGTACACGTAGATATCACTCAGGAATGTAAATATTTTTAATTCTTATAACATGTGTGCTTGTTCTATTTAATACGATTAATGATGAAAACACGCTAATCCATTTCTTCACCTAAAGTCAATGTTCAATGCCATTCTTTATCAATGCATTTTAATAGTGTTACACAATGATATTAATAGGTTCAATATCAGATATCAGCATGAATATTACAGCATAAAAATCCGTATACGACTCATGTACACTTCTTTACTTTAATTTACCAGTAGTTATTTAAAATCGAAGTCATAGCATATGTTCAAAATGTGCGAAGGATAAGACTGCTTTACTCGGCACTGCTCCATTGAAATCAATACTATTATATAATTTTCACAAATGCAATTTCATTCTCAATTAATCTGTATTAACTGTTGTAAGCAGTATCTTGTTCCATGAATCTGAAAGAATTCATTCTTCGCCTAATCTTATTCAGAATACGCTGAGTGATCTTACTTTGTGATCGGGCGTGTAATTGTATATTCTGCACCAAACTTCAGACAGTTTCACTGCTTCTGACAGAAACGGAAATATCAATATTTATTTTTTCTATATATATTGTATTACAATTGAAAAAAATGATTACTCTAAAAGTCAAAAGTGATGGGGGAATAATACAGGCAGGTTACGGACATTACGCCGTCAATAGGTTTGATTAACTGATTATCGCTCATACAAGAAAGGTGGAAATCAATAAACAATTTTTCAGTCATGACAAAATTCAATTTGTTCGAATTAAAAATATTGGAATTAGAGAGGTCACATGTACTACTTTATTAACAATAATATATATATATATATATATATATATATATATATATATATATATATATATAATCAGTTTTTCGCTATTACATATTGACTTTCGAACAATATCTGCTTTAATATGTCTAGAAACCAGTTTATTAACATTATATTTGTTTACATGTGATTTTTAGGCAGATGCTTCTACCAGTATGACAGACGTCGGAGAAGACAGGCCAAAATCAGCTTCGGTATTGAAAAAGGGAAGTTTGGTATGTTCTTTGTTTGTGAATCAATACTGAGTTATATATTTTTTTAAATTCATCAGTAAAAATTTAATTGTATCTACTTAATAAAATAATGATTTCATTATTCATTTGAAAAACAATTATTTTGTTTTTACAAAATAAAAGAAAATATATTTATGTAAAGTGTAGCGGGTCTCCAATTGCAATGGTGTCAGTAAAAAATAGCAGGAAAGAGAACAGCAATGAAACGTGTTTAAATAAATGTGTAGTATATTGTTTATTTAGTTAAATCGTTTCTAATTGTTTTAAAAAAATAGTATTTTATTGAACAGTGTTTCTTAGATTACTAATAATTTACAAATCAAGAATGCGTCAATTCTAAGTTTGTATTTTCGTATTACTGCTATTATATATCGCAATACATTTCCATTAGCCGTAAAGAATTCATAAATCAAAACGTATGTCTGTCATTTGTAGGCACATGCATTCAGGAATTGCACACAAATCACTTTGTGCTACATACATTTGTTACGTTTAAAACTTTTATAAACCAAATCGTCACATATACAAATTGATATTTAGGGTAGCCACTTCTAGTATTAAAAACAGAGATACTACAATGTAATTATTTTAGAGTTTCATAAACTCTACTTCAATATATTGTCTTAATAAATTTCAATTTTGTATGTCATCCATTTAACAATTATCAAAATTGTATTTATAGCATTTATGATGTCCACTATTAATATAATAACTTTATATAATATTACAATATTCGATGATTTAATGATACATTAAATGTAAATTATTCAAAACACGTTTCAATACTTTGTCACCGCTGAAAGCAGGAACAACAAATATTTTGTTGAAACATTCTTTAATAGTGACATCAATTGTACTTGTACGATACACGATCGTTCGATTCACAGTAGTGAATTATAAACAGTAGTATATAATGAATAATTGAGAAAAACTTGATCTACTTAAGACGGGTGCAGTGGGTTTGTAGAAAAATTAATTTATGAACCATGCTATAATAAAGTTCAACTACAATTTTCAGAATGTTTCCATTTTTTGTTACTTTTCTCTTATTGCAGGCTCGTGGATCAATGAAACCTAAAAAAGGTTCACTAAAACCTCGGAAGAGCAGTAAAACGCGTAAGGTATGAATATTTATGAATTACTTAACATTGATAGCATATGCTTTTCGTACTTATAAACCAGTGTAGCTATAATGATATAGGACTTACTTTCTGTTATAACCGTCACTATTTGTAACGGTTATAACAAATGCCTAGTCACCTCTTGACATCTCGTGTTCTACAAGTAGAACATTTCACTGCTTTGTGGTGGATTACAATGATCCTCCAGCTGCGGTCTCAATGGTACTTAACAGATTTTCTCAGTTCATTTTCTCATGCGAGATATTATCGTTAGAGAGTTATTGTGACTAGTTACATGCAAAGACTACAAGCTCTTATTGGCTTAGTCGATGTAGGTGGAATAGGGGTTTCATAGCTTCACAGAGGTAGCGCCACACATTTCTGCTCTTAAGGCTGCTCTATACATTATTACTCACCCAATCCCGCACAGCTGATGTGTTCGGCTAATGTTCGCTTTCTTTGATGTGTCCAAAAGAATGACTCGCGGTGTGTGGTCGAACACTGAATGTTCATCATTCGACAAACAGGAAGCAACTCGTCCATAATACTTGGGATTCGGCCAGCGCTTGTTCGCTACTCGCCGAATAAAGAATACGTGGAACCCCCTTGATACCCGAAATTCCATGCTGCACACGACCTGGCGGCACATTTCCCACACTTATACCCGACTGAGTTCCGCTGTCTTTGTAGAGACTCTGACCAGGAGGTTCTAGGTTCGAGATGGTTGTGGATATTCGACTCTAGCTGAATATCTGGGTCGAATTCAGCCGCTGCCTGGAGGATAATTACAGCAGCCGGTTGCTCTGATCGATAGTTTTTCTTGCTTTTTTCGATCAACTCTTACCGAATGCCGGAGCACCACTGAAACAAACGGGCCACGGACGCCGCGCGGTCTTACCTTGCTCTTCCTTGCCCTATCCTCATCCCTTACCTACACTCACACTAACATGCAATACACTACAACACATGTAGAAATACCAGTCGGGAGCTTGGAGATTGACTTGACTGGGGCGGTGCCCGTTGAGGAAAATGCCCTTAAGGATTGCGCTGGCTAAGGGCCACGGTTACATTGAGTGGGAGAGTACCTACCATGTCACAACACGAGGGTATCCATGTTAAAAAGGAATTCGAAACCCCTGATCTTTTGCCCGAGATTGCCACCGCGCTTTTTCTTTTAGAGATCTTCTTGGTCGTAAGTGGCAACTTTGTAATGTTTGCATAAAATTAAAAAAATATAGATTCGTTCATAATAATTGGAAGAGTACATAATATTGTTCATAAAATTTGGGAGAGCGCGAATGATCACTTTTTACCAATACTCTTGAGGTGGGGAATCCCATATAACGAACTGACATTACTGACAAATCTTTATGTTGAAACATATTCAGGTCATTACGCTCCAAATTGGTGGAAAGTGCAGAATACACACTCAAAAAAGAGCTTATCTCTGAAAATATCAATACAGAGATTTTTATCTACATTGTTCAACTATGTCGGGCATTGCCGTTACCATGCAAACATTAAAACCCCATGGCCATCAAGTAGGGAAGTCTGCAGTCAATTTTTGATTGCGTGCACTAGCACAAAATGGAATGCCCATGCATTAGGTAACCTTGAATATGTTAAGAAAATAAGCTTTGTTGTGTGAGAATAAATTCGACGTCTGCAGAAATGTATGTTAATCATAATCAGCCACGCTTGTAGAAGAAATACGACTATCCCATTTGATTTTGCCAACAATTACACTTCATTCTTAACCCTAAAAACTACATGAGAATTATATCAGTCACTATTTCTGTTGCATCGTTCACAACAAGCCAAGAACTTGGCGTAGAACGTATTTATATACATGGAGTGCTCCTCCGTTAAGTCTATAGTAATATACTATAAAATATATTACAGTCTGTAGTCCTTACGTCGTGAAGAGGGCCGCCAAGTAGCATCTCCGCGTACGCGCCTCTCTCTTGCGCGCTTTAGCGTCACTATCCAGCGGCCAGAATTGGCTAGAAATTTGGATAGGGTAGGGTTTAGAACACTTCACAGAGATTGGACTAGACCTTGTGAAGCATGCAAACTACTTTTCTTGAAACAAATTTGTCATTTCGGGTCCGGTAATCGACAGGAATCGAACCCGGACCTCCTTGGTAAAAGACAAGTAACTTCGCTCTGACCCTCGAGACAGACATTTAAAAAAAATAGTCTTTAGATTTTTATAAAATATACTTTTTACTTTATTTCACTTAAAATACCATCTAACGTCGCATACAAAATAATGTACAAGCAAAAAATCTTAAAATAGAAACGATTGTTGCCAAGCTATTATTCATTAAATATTTGCAAAAGAATAAAGAGTAACTAAATTTTTCTGGTAGTTTAACATGGTCGGGTGTAAATTATGGATAGTATTAAATGAATAATGTAGCACGAGCTTAATAATTTCTTTCACGGCTGGTATTGCCGTGCGACGAAACAACAATAGTTAAAATTTTCTCAAGTATGAGAAAATGTGATAAATTTATTTTGTGCGAAAGCGCACGGCTGTGCGCGCGCAATCGCTACTCAGGACGAAATGCAGGGGAACCGGCTGATTTCCGCGAAGCCTAGTTCGTAAGTTCTGCGGCTTTGGCCTTATCCAGCAAAGCTTGCCTCCTCCTCCCTACAAATACTGAGCCTTCACATTCGACTAATTTAATTCTAAATTACTAACCACTAGCTGAATGTGAATTTAAATGGTTTTAGAAAATTGTTTTCAAATGTTACAAATAGCTAATAAGCATGTTCTAAATAAAAAGAAACTTTAGACAGTTTTTTTATTCTCGGCGTACGTAAAATGTAGATTAAAATATGTTATGCAAAGCATAAGGAAAACGGCTTTTTATTATTTATATTATTTAATGACTTTTGACTATAGTAATCACTTAATTGTACATCAAGAGTTGTTTTAGTAAATTTTCATTTTGTCCTTTTTGCCAATTGTGAGTACAGGTTACTGTTTTCGGTATTTTAACTTATTTGTGTCCTTTTTGTGGCGTGTTTGTGCTTTTCTTCCTCCTCCTCCTGACACTAATATCCGTCAAGGTGGAATCATACTTGCAAGCCTGAACAACAGGAAGACACTGTCGTGTTTTGTCTTTTTGGGGACGCGGAGGCTCCAGTGTCAGGTTGTGTTCAAAATCTAAAATGGGAAAGGAAGATGATACCAATAAAGATTTGTCATAGATTTCGTTAATGTTAAGACTTGTGACCTTGCTAGAAACTCGTCCTATGTTTGAGTATGGTCTCAAATTCCTTTTAAGGAGAGAGACACAATTGCATTTTCAAGTCAGCGTCATGAGTATAATGTATTCTCATTCATCATACTGCTTTGTCACGTGCAGTCAAGATTGCCAAGAATATAAAGTTTATTTCCGTGTAAATGGTAATGTTACTTTTAGTTACAATACAAATATTAATCACTTTAACTATTTACTTATTTTTACAATAATTAATGTTTTCTGTGCTTTACATTCTTACTTTAACCAGAATAAATGCCTTTTTGAAACGGTAGACGGTATTTTAGTAACGGTAGACGAATTTTTTCCTGCCTATTTTTGGAAAAATAAATGCCTGAACTTCCGGGATCTAGTTATATAAATTACAGTTAAATTTTAAAAAAATGGGTGATCGCTATTCTTCATGTCGGATGTTCTTTTGGGAAGCAATCATTTTCTACCTACACTCACCAAAACTCACCCGCCTACCCCCTCCCACCCATCCACCCACACACACACACACTCAAGCTCATAGATGAGCGACCCTTTACGACGAAGCCATGACAGCACGCATAGAAGCATTTTAATTTTGATATGAATAAAATTGTTTAACACAGCTACATTATCATATCATTAAAATTAATAATTCTACTTTCAAGAGATTGCAGTCTAGGTTGGTGCAATAAACACTATACACAAAAATCAAATAATTGAAATTAATCAAACAATAGTCAAATAAAACTGATTTGACATCCGCGAAATCTCATAACTTAGTAAACCGTTGTTTTAAAATAGCTTCATTGTGGAACCCAACTTCAAAAATCAAATCTTTAACTGTGTAATTCAGCATTGTAAGTCAGGAACCACGCGAGGGTAACCATTTTAATATTGCTAAGCAATTAGATTGAATGGAATAGAAAATCAAATAACATTATATTGTGAACGATTATTCCGTTTCCTTTCAACTTAACTTTCAGATCAATATAGAGTTTCTGAATACCTTTGACCAAAAAATAACTGCTATAAAATGAGAACACTCACAAGCAGCAAATCTCAAAAAATGAATAGAAGATTGACAAAAGTCTAATTTTATAAAATAATGTTTAAAAGAAAAATCTGATCCCAGCTCTCCCCATAGAGTCCGCCTGTCCTGTTATAAGTACGATTTCATACAGATCCGGTTGAGAAGTGTTTATTATGAATATCCATAATTCATCGAGTGGTTAATTGCACGTTGTTTATGTTTCAGAAATCTCGATCCAGTTCAAGAAGTTCAAGAGTATCAAGACCTTCCAATAGACCTTCTTCTGCACCATCTTTACGAGGTTCAGTCCGGGTGTGTAATATTAATTCAGTAGAAAATCAAAATGGCACGTAAAGACAAATAATAGTCTAAATTCAGAAAAAACTCATAAATGCACTTGAACCCGAAGAAAAAATTATTCGTAAAATAAAAATTGTATTATAAAAATACGAATTAGTGAAATGATCATTGAATATTTCCCCGAGTTCAAAGTTTTCACATCATGCATATTAAACAATAAATGTGAAGGGTGTAATTATTTTCTTACTGGTTAGCCCGAAAAGAAAAAATGTTTTTCAGTAAATTAAGAGTAAGTGCAAATGTATAAATTCAAAAATTCAATATTCTTCAACAATCGTAAAATAACGATTTAAATGACCGTTTCGCACGTCATATGAGTTTTGAATTAAATGTACTTAAAACAATCTAAGATACGTTCCGATAAACAGTTCATGTAATATCAATAAAAATTAAAAATTTTACTATATTATCACTTTGTTAATGCAATTTTCTTTTTCAGTCATCAAAATCAAAGAAATCTTGGACATTTCCACCATTAGGAGGCAAACCAATCAGCAGAGTAGATTTTGCAGGCTCCATGAAACCAGTTTGGAGTCAAAGTCCTGAGGTATTGTGTATTTCAATTAATGTTAAACATACTTGATAATTATGTATAGCTTGTATATTAAGCTAAGCCATAAACTTTTACTGACACTATCAATAATCATTTTATTTATACATTGTGATACAACTAAAGTACTTTGTTGTTAACTAAAAGTAATGAAAGCAGACAAAGTAAATTAATTCCCAGGTGTTGTCCATGAGACACTAAGAGAAGTATGACAATACGTAACATGTGAATTAATTGTATTTTGAATGAATTAAAGGTAGTTTATTGATAAAGCCTACCCTAAAGCATTAATCTCTGAAAATTTATAATTCAGTACTTTACGTTTCAGGTGGAAACATTTTATTCAAGGAAGTCTAACGTTGAAAAACGACCGGTGAGTATTAAACAATATTTTTCATGTATGCTGTCAACAACTGCTGTATTTATGCTGTAAACTTGTGGGCATTTTGTAACTATTTACTTGGCTGTCCGGGTGGCGCTGTGTCCATGGCAAAGGTGCCGACGTTTCGGTCGCCATTCTGCGACCTTCCTCAGGGCGTAATTACCTGAGGCCTGAGGAAGGTCACAGAATGACGATAGAAACGTCGGTACTTTCGCCATGGACGGGGCGCTACCCGGACAGCCAAGTAAATCCTGACTCCGACCGCGGAAGTCTACGCTTTCATTTTGTAATTAATTGTATCTACCCGCATTTCTCCTAGTCATTAGTCAAGATATGCTTCACACTTAACCACCTGCATAACTTGAAAACTACGAGACCCTTGAAAATAGTAGTTTATGCAATTAGTTTATAATGTTAAGCTTTATTGCATCAGTACATATTTTGAAAACGAGTGACGTTATGATAGAGTTTGTAAATTTGTGCCAACGGAATAAAGCGATATCATAATCGAGTTGCATATTACTTTTTTTGTATAACAGCATAATAAATTAATAAGATAATCAAACTTATTTTTGCGAAACAACATTCTCGTGACGTCACGGGTATTTTACTCCTGTGCGAGATAACGGTAGTCGGTTGTTAAGTTTATCTCTACGCCCCTACGATTCTCTCGCTGCTGAGTCTGTGATAACACAATCATTCGTACCTTAAAATTCCAATATGTCATCATTAGTGCCTTAAATATCAGATTATGAACAATTTCTCGCAACAGAAGAGGTCATTTTTAATGCTGGTAAACAAAAGAAAATTTTTACCATCTTTGAATTCTTTAATTTCTGTATAGTTCTGTTTCATTTTATGTAAACACTTTTTAGACATTCTACTACAATTTGGGGTAACATTTTCTCTGTACAAGAATGGTCAGATTGTCAGTGTTATTGGAATTTGGGGTTCAAGAATCTTTTATCTTTTGAAACAATGATTTAAAAAGTGCAGATTTCTATTAATGATTTTCGACAAACACAGTATGTTACGTATTGGAGAGATGTATCATATGCGTACGTTTTCATGATCTTCATTAACTCTCCCACACTCATTTGCGGTACATAGTTCTATTGTGAACATAAGTCTCAACAATCACGGCCAATAACATTTGAAAACCAGAAATTTTCGTTCAAAAGTAATGCAAAATGTATTTGAATAACGAACCCCATATATGATATTTCTGACAAAATAATATAATTTCCACTCTGTCCCTCCTTCTGTTGGAAAGGAAATTTCACCGTTTCTCAAATACTGATATTCTCTCCGAGGTTCCACTAGTGCGCTGTGTTTTAATAGTTGATTCGTAATTGATTAACATCGTTTAATGAAGTAACCGAATTATACGTAGTTATTTTAAGTTAAACCTTTTTCACAAGACGTCGTAGCCCTTCTTGGGTACTAAGTGCCTATAAATCTGAATTTATCCTCCGTTTTTGTGTTGTCACGTCCCAGTCAGTCAATGTCTTTTATACCTTCAGTCAGGGACAAATCACATTGAATGACCGGGGTTCCCAAATTGTCACGTGGCCAGGAACCCGCGGTGTATGTAGTTGCTTAACTTCAGTGACTTCACGAAGCGTAGTGAAGCAATTTAGCTAACGACACCGGCTTTTTCTTTTTTTGCGTGTCAATCTTGCCTCCTCTCACGATCCTACACTGTGAGTAAGGTTACTCACAGTGTAGTTCACTGTGGTTCACCATAGTTCACTGTAATTCACAGAGCGTTCTGTATTGCAGCATTCCGCGAGTCTCACAATGAAGAAAGCATTCAGCGAAACCGTGAAGAAGCGGCCCTCTACAGCCCCGATGCAGAAGCCATCGATAAGAGCATGGTGCGTACCCACACGTAATTCCATAGCAAAAACAGCACACTTAGAAAAAAGCAATTTTTCCTTATTTTTAACTAAAAATTGAACCTAATATTACTAAGACCGCACATGTGTATTACTAATTAAAACCAATCAATGATTGCCTACATGATATGTTGTGGGACAATGTGAAAGATCGGCCATATTGTGTCGTGTAATGTTGTGGTTTTAGTGCACTTCATTCTTATAAAATATAGCGGTTTTAAATAAATGATTTTTAATTGTCTTTAAATATTCTGAGAATACCACTGTTCTACAATGTATAGTTTGTAGAGCTCAACGAAGTTGAACCCTAGTATTAATGCTAAAGTTGTGCACATTGCTAATCAATTTAGTCGGTAAAAAGGAATTGCAAACACTCCACATTGATATGGTATCTAGTACACAAAATCAGTAGCCAAGTGAGCATTCTGTTAGCTACCGTACACCATAGTTTTCTTAATTTCGAAATATTCACTTCAAATAATTTAAAACATGTTTAGTACAAGTATATTTCGAATCAGTCTTTTGAAATAACTAGAAAAAATATGAATCAACACATAACTCTTCCAGGGAAAGAGAAACATGTAAGTTAGGACGAGTAGACGTCTCGTTTGTTAGTGTGCTTAGTAGTATATTACACTATTATATTGCAATATAAAAGTTTCTACTAAAAAAGAGTCTGTAATTTCCAACTGGAACTGATTTCTTACTAGTAAATTTTAACTGTTAAAAGAAATCTGAAAGGTGCACAGAAATACTTTTTTCAAGTGTTATTTGAAATATTAAATTCGTAAATGAACCTTGTAAGAAATGACGGTTTGCCAAATTATAAAAATGTATGAAACACGATGTAGTGAAACGAATAAACATGAAACGAAATAGGAAAGGTTAAAAAACAGAAATCTGCTATTTAGCGTCAATTACACTGCAATTGTAAATAGGTGTTATATTCAATTAATTATGATTTAAGAAAACAAACGTGATCATGCTGTCATCTGTAAAACGTTAAATAGCCATACTGTTTGTATTATATTAATGTGTCTGAACATCATAAAACTAAGTAGTTCAGGAACTAAAAGGTTTGGCGTTTTTCAAAAGTTTCCAAAATTATAGTGTTTGTTTATAGACCCGAAGTAACAAATAACATTTTTCGAAGACGCGCAGAGATACTTATCGAATTTATTTGAATAAAACAACAAATAAATAGACGGGCGTTTTTATTTTGCTTTTGCTCGCCCCTCTTTGTTCCAGAACGATTTTATATGGTTTTAAAGATAATTTAACAAAGTTCTTTTGTTCGTATACGTATATTATGCTGGTGTATATAATAATTATTACAACTTTTACGTATGTGGACAGGTTGAAAATAACAGAGATACACATACGGAATTACCCCCCTGATCGTTAGGCAATCTGCTTGTACGGGCGTAACCCAGGTTCATATAATTGCATTGAAAGCGTCAGAAAGTAATCTGCTGAACAAATGCGCATAAGGATTTTCCTCACAATCTCACTAAATGTTCATCGGCAAAATGAGATAGTTGTAACCCCACTACATGTTCGAGAAGTTTATAACATTTACTCTTAGTCATGAAAATGTGACAATTTTTCTCTACTTGTTAGGTAGGTATTGCAGCAAACATAAAGTGTTAAAGGGTTTTGTGATGTTAATTTCCTGTTGTGATGTTTTTGCTAAATTGAGGCAAATGAAATTGAAAGTGAAATGTCATGAATCTGCCAAACACCAATGTGTGCAGGTTGCCTATCAGAGGAAAATTCCTTAAGTCTAATTCTGATATAACTTTACTAATGCTTTAATAATAAATATTATCGTGGATAAATATTTCCTTGCAATGTATCCACACGCAAATAATATAAAATGAACTTATTTTATTCATTTACCGAATTGATCTACTTAACACAACTTAATATAATATTCGCATAGTTTGTCATGGATTTAATTTTTGATAATGAGACTTTGAAACAAAAGCAATTAGTTAAGAAATTTGAACTTGGCGTGATCACGAGCTGTGCTTCACTTACAGTACCGGCAAGGTATAAGCAATTAGTATGCACATGGTGCCACCTTCATGCCATAAATGAAATACCAAAACATTTACACTTACTGACAGGCTATGACACGTCTGGATAGCATGTTCAAAACCTTCGCAAAAGCCGAACCTTATCGCCTCCGGCACGTTGTGCGAGTCAGATGAGCAGCAACGCAGAACCCTGGATGTGGGAAAGTAAACAAACTGCTCACTGACGTTTTCGCAGCAAAGATTAAAGTATACTCCATTAACACCGGAATCTCAGTGTTATCTGCTTTGGTTTGTTGTGTCAATATATTTGTGTGTTTCGTCACGAGTTTGTTGTACGTTAATAATAAAATTTCCTCATTCACTCCATTATAAACTTTGGCGGTTATGTAGTTGGTTTCTTCACGGTTTTAACCAGGTTGTTGTGTGTCCCTAGGAGAAGACGTGTGCGCGGGATCTTGTCGTCTTCCTCCGACTTCGACGTGTCCGACGCTGTTCCCCAACCGCAGATCCCCAACCGCACCCGTACCGCAACGTGCCCGCCTACGTGACCTTGCGAGCTTCCTCTACCGGACTACTTCTTGACCCTCGCACCCACTTCCGCAAACCCAAAGAGTGCCGAGATGGGGCCAACTCTGAAGCCGTTCCTTCCAGAAAGTGTGCGCCGCAGTTTAAATATCGAGCTCCACCCACCTTGCATATGTCGGGTTCGCACCGCTTGGTTAACCTGCTGAGCAGCGGATTAGTTAATGTTTAGAACTGTTGAGTCACTTTTTCTTCGCGGCACAATTTCCATCTTGTCAATCTTCCCAATGTATTCTTAGATGTTTCAAATGCTGGAATAAAGGAATATGATTATGCTAACTGACTTTCGCAAGCAAAGATTTAAAGTATACCTCCATTTACACCGGAAACTAAAATATTATCAGTTTTGTCAGTTGTGTTCAATTTATGTATTTCGTCACCGGAATTTTGTATGTTAATAATAAAATTATCATTCACATCCATTATAAATCTTGTCTTTTGTAAATCATTTTGAAAGATTCACATTCAAATT